TTTCTGAAGAAGGGTCTAGACCCGAAACGTCAGCTTTCCTGCTCCTCTGATGCTGCTTGGCCTGCTGTGTTCATTCAGTTCTACATCTTGTTGTCTCAGATTCTCCAGCATTGGCAGTTCCTACTATCTCTGTAACAAGTGATATATGGTGTCAAGATAACAACTTTCAATTTATTTGAAAACGGATAATGGATGGGTACAAATATTTACATTATAGTGATAGGGGCTTCAATTGTAAGGGGAATAGATAGGTGTTTCTGTGGCTGCAAACGAGAGTCCAGGATGGTATGTTGCCTCCTTGGTGCAAGGTCAAGGACATCACAGAACAGCTGCAGGACATTCTTGAAGGGAAGGGTGAACAGCCAGCTGTTTTGGTGCATGTAGGGCACCTACAACATAGGTATAAAATGAGATGAGGTCTGACAAACTGAATTTACAGCATTAGGAATTAAACTGAAAAGTAGTACCTCAGAGATAGTAATCTTAGGATTGCTACCAGCGCCACGTGCCAGTCAGAGTAGGAATGGCAGGATAGCTAAGATGAATATGTAGCTTGAAGGATGTGCAAAAGGGAGGGATTCAACTTGCTGGGACATTGGAACCAGTTCTGGTGGAGGTGGGACCAGTACAAACCGGACAGTCTGTGCCTGGGCAGGACTGGAACCAATGTCCTGGGGGGAGTGTTTGCCCGCGTTGTTGGGGAAGGTTTAATCTAATATGGTAGGGGGATGGGAACCAATGCAGGAAGTTGGACAGAAGTAAAGTGGGGACAGAAACAAAAGGCAGTAAGGGAAAAAGTGAAAGTGGAAGGCAGAGAAACCACAAACAAAAATCAAAAGGGGTCACATTACACCATGATTCAATGCCAAAAAAATACAGCCGGAAGGCTCTGTGTCTCAATGCGAGGAGCATTTGTAATAAGGTGGACGAATTAACTGTGCAAACAGTTGTTAATGGATATGATGTAATTGGGATCACAGAGACCTGGCTCCAGGGTGACCAAGGATGGGAACTCAACGTCCAGGGTTATTCAATTTTCAGGAAAGATAGACAGAAGGGAAAGGGAGGTGGGATGGCACTGCAGGTTAAGGCGATGATTAACACAAAGTAAGAGAGGACATTAGCCTGGACGATGTGGAATCTGTATGGGCGGAGCTGCGGAACACCAGAGGAAAAAGGTGTTAGTGGGAGTTATGTACAGACCACTGAACAGTAGTTGTGAGGTTGGGGATAGTACCAAACGGGAAATTAGAGATGCATGCAGTAAAGGTAGAGCAGTTATGGGTGACTTCAATCTACATATTGATTGGACTAACCAAACTGGTAACACAGCGAAGGAGAAGGATTTCCTGGAATGTATGAGGGATGGTTTCCTCAACCAATATTTTAAGGACCCAACAGGAGAGCAAGCCATCCTAGACTGGGTAGTGTGTAATGAGAGAGGATTAATTAGTAACCTTGTGGTGTGAGATCCTTTGGGGAAGAGTGAACATAATATGGTAGAATGCTTCATTAAGATGGACAGTGATACAATTAAATCTGAGACTAGGGTCCTGAACTTAAAGAAAGCTAACTTTGATGGTATGAGGCATGCATCGGCTAGGATAAGCTGGCCAAGGATGCTTAAGGGGTTGACAATAGGTAGGCAATTGCAGACATTTAAAGAACACATGGATGAACTTCAACAACTGTACAACCCCATCTGGTGTAAGGGTAAAACAGGGAAAGTGGCTCACCCATGTCTAACACAGGAAATCAGGGGGTAGTGGTAAAGAAAAAGAAAAGGCATATAAATTGGCTAGAAAAAGCAGCAAACCTGTGGATTGGGAGAAATTAAAAACTCAGCAGAGGAGGAGAAAGGGTTTAATTCAGAAGTGGAAAATAGAAAATGAAAGTTGCGGAAAACATAAAAACTGACTGCAGAAGCTTCTATAGATATGTGAAGAGAAGAAGACTGGCAAAGACAAATGTAGATCTCTTGCAGTTAGAATCAGGTGAATTCATAATGGACAACAAAGAAATAGCAGACCGGTTGAATAAATACTTTGCATCTGTCTTCATTAAGGAGGTCATCTTTCAGAAATGCTAAGGGACAGGAGGTCAAGCATGAAGAAGGAACTGAAGGAAATCCTTATTAATTAGGAAACGGTATTGGGGAAATTGATGGGACTAAAACCCAATAAGTCCTTAGGGCCTGATCTCTGCATCCCAGAGTACTTAAGGAAGTGGCCCTAGAAATAGCAGATGTATTAGTGATCGTTTTCCAGTATCCTGTAGAGCCTAGAAGGGTTCCAATGGACTGGAGGGTAGCTAATGTAAACTCACTTCTTAAAAAAAGAGGTAGCAAGAAAATGGGGAATTGTAGGCCGGTCAGCCCAACATCAGTGATGAGGAACATGCTGGAGTCAATTATTAAGAATGTAATAACTGAGCATTTGGAAAGTGGTGACAAAATTCGTCCAAGTCAGCCTGAATTCACAAAATCATGCTCGACAAATTTTCTGGAATTTTTTTGAAGATATGTCCAATAGAGTGGTTGAGGGTGAATCAGTAGATGTCGTGTATCTGGACTTTCAAAAGGTATTTGACAAGTTTCCACACATGAGATTAGTAAGGAAAATTAAAGCTCATGGTATCAGAGGTAATGAATTGATGTGGATAGAGAACTGGTTGGCAGACAGGAAGCAGAGATTTGGAATAAACAGGTCCTTTTCAAAGTGGCAGGCAGTGACAAGTGGGCTGCCGCAGGGTTTAGTGCTGGCACCCCAGCTGTACATACATTAACGATTTGGATGAAAGAACTGAATGCAATATCTCTAAATTTGCAGGCGACACTAAGCTGGGAGGCAGTGTGTGCTGTAAGGAGGGTGCCAAAAGGCTGTAGGGTGACTCGGACAGGCTGGCTTAGTGGGCAAATACTTAGCAAACACAATCTAACATGGATAAATATGAGGTCATCCAATTTGATTGCAAAAACAGGAAGGCAGATTATTATCTGAATGGTGACAATTTAGAAAAAGATGAGGTGCAACGAGACCTGGGTGTAATGGTGGAACAGTCGCTGAAGGTTGGCATGGAGGTGCAGCAGGCAGTGAAGAAAGCTAATGGCATGCTGTCCTTCATAGCGAGAGGATGAGTATAGGAGTAGGGATGGCTTGCTGCAGTTATACAGGGCCGTGGTGAGTACTGTGTGCAGTTTTGATTCCCTAGTCTGAGGAAGGACATTCTCGCTGTTGAGGGAGCTCAGTGAAGGTTCACTAGACTGATTCCCGGGATGGAAGGACTGACATATGAAGAAAGACTGGATCGACTGGGCTTGTACTTGCTGGAATTTAGAAGAATGAGGGGGGATTTCATAGAAACATATAAAATCCTGATGGGACTGGACAGGCTAGATGTGAGAAGAATGTTCCTGATGTTGGGGAAGTCCAGAACTAGGGGTCACAGTCTAAGAATAAGGGATAAGCTATTCAGGACTGAGATGAGGAAGAATTTTTCACTCAGAAAGTTGTGAACATGTGGAATTCTTTCCCACAAAAACACAGGTTAGATCTCAGCTTGGGTATCGTGCACAGTTCTGGGATCCACCCTATAGAATGGATGTGAATGCACTGGAGAGTGCGCAGGAGGAGGTTTACAGGAATGGTTCCAGGGATGAGACATTTCACTTAAGACGAATGAATGGAGAAATTGAGACTATGGGTAATCCACCTAAACCTGCACATCTCTAGACACTACAGAGCAATTTAGTAAGCCAATCCACCTAACCTACACATCCTCGGGCTGTGGGAGGAGACTGGAGCACCAGGAGAAAACCAACACAGACACGGGGAGAACATGAAAACTGTGACTTGGTTGACTGTCTAAGGCTGGAATTGAACCTGGGTCCCTAGCACCTTAAGGCTAACCACTGTGCTGCCCCAGCTTTGATTTCCTTATAATCATTTCTCCATAATGGCTATAAGATCATACCCATTAACTCATTTGTGTCATTAATTCATTTATTTTGTTCTGAATACTAGGCACTTTTAAGTGAAAAGCCATTGATATTATCTTTTCTATAATTTTTCCCTCTTTGATCTTATTTGCTGCTTTTTTATGCTTGTACATTCTGTGTTTCCTGTCCCACTCTGGGTATCATTATCAGAACAGTTGCCCTGTAATGCTGCCGTATCCTTTGGCTTTGTAAGCCTATGTATTCCCCCTCCTGAACCTTACCCCCATTTTAACTAATTTAAAGGCTCTCTACAGCTCTAGTTACTTGATTCACCAGGACACTAGTCCCAGTATGATACAAGTGAAGCTCATCCAATCAGAACTGTTCACTTCTACCCCAGTACTGGTGTTAGTGCTCCATGAACTGAAACCCATTCCTACTACACCAATCTCTAA